AAAATCTTCACAGGAAGTTGTGAACCAAATGTCAAGAGGTAAATCTCTCTTCCTCAAATTTTGTCATGCTAAGCTGGAGCTCACAAATACTTAAAATAGCACATGATCCACAGTACATTGTATGTGTTTGAACACAAGCAGCAATATGGGGTCTGCTTGTGTTTGTCCTCCCTCCCAGCTATGTAACATGAGTGTGGCATCCAGTACATGTTGCAGAAGAACAGGATAGGCACAGCGGAACAGAATAATAAAATAACAATAGCTTGATTCTATTTGTCAAGGGACAGACAAAATAATATTCTCTTACTTATTGCTCGTAAGCGAATGTTTCGGAGCTTAGTTACAATACTGCCATGGTAGACAGTGCTGATACTTCATCAGTGGTGGGCTAGAAAACATGGAGCTGAGGACATCAGTTTGGAAAACAGAGCAGCAAAGACAGAATTTAAAATTCAGCTCACCGCCTGCCCATTTGACTGATGCACAGAGCTCTGACGTAGCTTTGGATTCAGAAGCTGCGCCTGCTGTGCCACTCCCAGCAATAAACTGCCTTTTATGGACATGGATAAGCAGCCTTGTCAAATAAGGATTTAAAGCAGGACGTGCCCAAAGAAACTGCTGATTTCTGTTAAAGCCTGCAATTGCTCTCTCTGAGCTTTTGTACATATTAAAGTGTATGAGACTTACCAGAGGGAAAAGGTGAATAAAAATATCAAGGTAACCAAATAATCTCCTCACCTACAGTGTGCAAATAAATTTCTAGTCTCAGATTTTTTGTGCCACTCTCCTACTCACGGGGCATACTCCCACCCATGAGAAACACCACTTGACACCAAGAACTATATCAGCTGCTGAGAGTGACCTGGTTTGCAGCACATTTGCCTTGCTGCCCCTTGAAATTCTGTTGCCCCAGAATGCCAAATGGTCTCCTACACATATGATCTGCTTACGCTTTCCAAGCTGTGTCATAACCATCATGGTCAGACAGACCTCTTTCTGCAACTCATACACTGATCCCTTTTCCCCTGCCTCAACACGAACAAAAGACAGCCACCAGTATTCCTCCTTACACATCTTGAATTTGCTGCTACAGTACATGCCTGTGACACTAATGGGGCATTTGTACATTACACATTAGAATCATAGAATGTTGTGAGTTGGAAGGGACCCACAAGGATCATCGAGTCCAACTCCTGTCCTAGCACAGGACAATCCCAAGATTCAGACCATGTGTCTGAGGGCGTTGCCCAAATGCTTTTTTGAATATTGTCAGGCCTGGTGCCACGACTGCCTCCCTGGGGAGCCTGTTCCAGTGCTCCACCACCCTCTGGGTGAAGAACCTTTTCCTAACGTCCAACCTAAACCTCCCCTGGCACATCTTCCTGCCATTTCCTCTGGATCTATCATTGGTCACCAGAGAGAAGAGATCAGTGCCTGCTCCTCCTTTTCGCTTTGTGAGGAAGTTCTAGACTGCGATGAGATCTCCTCTCAGCCTCCTCTTTTCCAGGCTGAACAAACCAAGCGACTTCAGCCTCTCCTCATACGCCTTCCCCTCTAAGCCCTTCATCAATTTTGTGGCCCTCCTCTGGACACTCTCTAGCAGCTTTATATCCTTTTTATACTCTGGTGTTTTTATACATTGATTAAATGCTTAGCTAAAAAACCCCTCACATCATTTAACTGCTGCTTTCGACCCTTCAGAGTGCTGTGGGTCCTTCCCATGTATCTATATACTCAAATCAAGACATGTTCTGTTTAAGCCAACAGACATCAACTAGTGATGAACACCTGCAGATAAGGACTACAACTCTTAAGATTTTACCCTAACTTCCTGCCACCATCTCTGCTGAAGTCTTAAAAATATCCAGAAGTTTTAGATGGCTGCTTTTAGCACAGAAGTTGGATTTCGTATTTTGGGTTTCGCACCATAAAACTATGGCTGTAAACTTGTCATTTGAGGTAGGAACTTCAAACATATCCACTATTTTAAAGAAACTTCAAATGTCCAACTGCTGGATTGTGATTCATTTGATCACCAAGCATTAATTATAAAATCTTCAGACTGTTGAAGAAAACATTCTCTCTGCACCTGCTATGCCCCAGGAATAACTCTAGATTCTATTCCATATAATTCAAATCCATCGTTAAGCATAAAGACTTCAAAAATACAAACGCTACAAGGGTGCACCTTATCTTCAGGCACATATACTTTCCAATGACAGAACACCACCTATTTCTCACAAATGAACCTGAACCTTTGGTAGCAGACTGTCAGGAAGTCATAAGGAAAAATTTTAATGTATTACCAGTTCAGTTTCTAAAAAGATAATTAAATCTCAAGATCTGTGATTCCAATTTGTCAACAGCTAATAATGGAGAAACTGTGCAAAATAAGGCATAATATTTCTAGAAATGAGAAAATCTAGTAAAAACCAGCACCTCATTAGATATGAGAGGAATTAAACCCACAGTACAAATTCACGGGTAACTAGACCTCATTTATTTTGCTGCTCACAGAACTAATTATTAAATTTAGGGAAAACTACCTTTGTCAGAGCTGTGTTTTCTAAAGAAAAGATTATTCATTTCCCAAGGTGAAAACTGTTCATGAAGAACTCTGCAGTAAAACATGGAACTAGAAACCAAAAGTATAATGAACAAAAAACCTAAACTACAACATTAGCCATCTAACTCGCATCCCAGCCTAAGAGAAGAACTATTTTCAACTATGCTTCCTTACATGTAATTTATTATTCAGACACTGTGTGTCTGAGATGTTCTTACATAGGTTATTTTTCAACTTTTCCACTGACTCAAACTAAGTCAATGGTTCTAATAAAAGGTATTTAATGAAACCTTTATCTTTTTAATGAAAGTTTTAATATTTCTTGAGAATGTTACTAAGTGCAATTTTATTATTATTTTACTTCTCCACTGATTCTGCAGCTGTAATAGATTTCCTTTTCCATGGGTATAGGAAGAGTACAGAGACTAAGAAATGCAATAATTTCAGAAGGGAATTTGAAATAGACTGATCCGTGCTAAAAGCTAGAAGGATACTGTCTCCTTTAACAGACAGGAATGACCTCAACAAACTTTAATTAAAACTAATATGTAAAACCTAGTATACAGCCAATGTTACCAACAAGGAGAATATTGATACTGAAAGAGAATACACTTCCTTCTCATCACTGAAATCTATTTTATCTAGTACAGCCCAGATCTGATGGTGCTTTCTTTAACTTTTGCTGTGTGGTAACTCCCAGTATGAGAACTTAGTTTCCATCACTTTAAACTTTGCAATGCTTTGAAGAGTTTTTAGTATACCCAAAACAACAACAACAACAACAACAACAACAAAAAACCAAGGCAGGGAAATAGTACTCAAAGAGACTGTGATGTACTTTTTCTTTGAGATATCTTAGCTTCTCTCATCTTATTAGGAAATATTATTATACTAATTTTAGGGGTTTTTTTCCCCCTAAAAATTAATATTACATTTGAGATTAGGAGCCAGATTTGTAAACGACTTAGCAGTTAATAGACTTGTGCTTCTACGTCACTTCAAAGCCTCTGGAATTCCCATTCCACTTCAGTATTTGGGAGGGAGGATAAAATTTAGAAGAATGTTCTCACTAACAAGCATTAACATTACCAAGAATAGAAGAAACTGAACGTAAGCAAAAACCCCAAAGGAATTACAGCAGTGCAGAAAGAAAACAAACTGAGCATCTTGAAGACCTAACAGTATCAGCATCTCCTTTGTTACAGAAATTATATGCTTCCAAATGATCAATAAGGTGGTTTTTTTTTTTTCCCTGGATGGCTCTCTACAACTACAGATTGAGACTGCCGATTGTGGAGCACAGAAACATACAGTGAAGGATAATTACTAGTTTAGCTATCTTTTTTTTTCCCCCCAGCCCCTTCCCCAACTTCCTGATCTCATCCCCAGCTCTCTCAAGCTATCTCACAAGCAGAAGTGCATCTCCTTCCTAACCTGCGCTTTGAGCAAATGAATCCACCGCTACTCCCTGCCCATCTCCTCCCTGTGTCCCAAAGGCATCCTAATCCGTACTGCAATGGCACACTTCTCTCCCTTGTGTTTTAAATAAATCAATAATTTAGTCAGCTGAAGCTGGAGATTTGTGAAACTAATTCATTAACTGCCATTTGGCAGAATATTACATCTTGTGAAAAAAGCTGTTCCTAAGACAATGACCATCCAGCCTTTGCATTCAACCATGTATTATTTTTCTTACAGAAGCACACTAGCAACATGCTGTCTGGAGCTGTGGCTATATTTGAAATTAATATAGGCTAAGCGAAGGTGCCTTGCTGCAAGATCTCTCTCTTGCAGCAATGACACAGCCAAGAGCAGGAAGCTGAATGGGAGGAAAGACCATTCTCCTTCACAGCTATCTGCTGTGACAGCACTCGAGGAAGATGCAAACATGGGTCTGTTGCTACCTGAGTGGTCCACAGCCCAGTCTGTGCACTGGAAAAAATGGGAGGAGAGGAGATATCCATTTGACCAACTAACCAAGAATGAAATGTATGACCAGTAAGATACTGACAAGTCACACTTAGCAACTTCCAGTTGATACTTATACTCTTCTCGGGTGCTTGAGTCTGCAATTCATTTTTTAAATGGGGGATGTGCAAAAAGTCTACATCAGATAATGGAAATACTTACCACATAAATCAAATATTTGATAAATCTCATTATCAATAGCTGCATCCCTATAACATGGAGGCTCCAAATGTAATTTAACATATTTCAGGGAAGATAAAATAATATGATGATGCCACTGCACAGGTTATACAGGATTTGTCTTCCAAGTATTCATTATAATTTAATTTATAATTTAGGAACATTGGCAACTTTATTCTTCTATTTTTCAGCTGGGACCATAAATTAAGATGCTGTATTTTAGCTTTGGGTGATAATTTCTTGTAACAGAAATATTTCCCTTTTTCTACATTAATACTTTGCATACCGACTTCATCCTGGATCTCCTCTGCCACAGCAGGCACGTTGTAGAGGAAGGAGAGAGACTGATTCATGCGTTCATATATCACACGCAGATGTGTCATAACCTACGGAAATAAAAGTATTTTAAGGAGGGGAATACTACTATTAATTTGACATTATCACAATTTGATTACGTTACAGAGAGCAAGACAGTTATCACTTGTGCTACGTTTAAGATTTCAGTATGCTCTATGTACCAAAACTGTCAAATCCATTGCAAAATACACCTCTCTCCTACAGCTAATACAAACCCAGTGTTCTGGATGGTCTTCCATAGCAACTACCTGAAATCCTATGGGAATGCAGTAATTTAAAGTAGGGGTTTACACTTGCAGAGCATGTACACAAGCAGCTATTGTGTTAGAAATCCACAGCCTCATTTACCCTTCAACAACATTTACATTTGCCCATATCCATAAGTTTCCACATAACATGCAAACCAAGTGAGGCACAATGATTGCTGCATGAAAATGCTTAAACAGTTGGGTTTTTTTATCCTCATATCGCAAAAGGAAACATCTCCCTCTGAAAAAAGCTTCCATTTTCTTGGTAAAAGCATTTGCAAACATTTTCAAACGAAAACAAAAATATTTCCACCCAGAAGCATTACTGCATTGCTTCATGTGATTACAACTCTATTGCCTCAGACTCCTGCACACTGCAATGGGCTGAGTAGCGACGTCCCATGATATATGCTCCCCCAGGATACTCTCCACAAGTATCACCTCTCTTCAGTAGAAAGGGAAACTGAGGTGCATCTGAAAAGACTTAGAAGACTGACAGGGCAACTAGGCCTAAATAGGAAAATGGGTTGCAGATAGCTATTTTAAGGGAACAATGGAATGATTTCCTCAAATCCAAATACAGCATTTATACTTCTGAACAGAATATTTTGTTTTCCATTTTCCACTGAAAAAAAATTTCACGAACAGATTCTCCAGCCTACGTTCCCCCAACCTTCTGACCAACTCAAGAAGCCAAGATACTATAGAAATACTAATTCCTATGATGATATGCTAAGCAATGCACTGCACTTCTTGTATTTAAACGTCAGTTTCCATTCTTCACTTGGGCTGCCACACAATCTGTAGTGTGCAAAATTTCACTAATTTTTATAATTAAATAATCTAGTGGTTTGGAAACTAAAAAAGTCATGTTAGATGCATGTTAGATGCAAAAGGACATGCTTTAATGTTTAAGGCAAGAGAAAGACAACTGCCACTGCAGAAGACTATTAGAAGTGTGCATTTATAACTAGTAATTTAAAGATAGCACGATGTCAATGTACAAGTCTGGCTGGAATAGATGTTTGAAAAGTCTAATACACAAAATGTGCCATTTAGGGAGGTATATGGTTTTGATTTGGCTTTTAGCAATGCCAGTCAGTTCAAAAACTGCGGCTGGAACAGCACTTCCCACCACATCCTGCACAGGAACAGCAGCAGATTCTGCAGATTAGGCACAGATTTGCTACAGTTTATCCACTGTGCCTACAATTCTAATTGGAGTTTTGAAAATCAGCCACATGGTCAATTTTTTTTATTTTTATTTTTTCTTTCTCACCCTCCATGGTTTACGAAGACAACATAAAAGCTGTTCCAAAACATATACGTTGAGGACTGCAGTAACATTTAGCAGTTAAAATGCCATGAACTACAGGGCCTATTTTAAAAGAACATGTCAAATTCGAGTGCATTGCAGTAATCACATCTATAGACACTACAAGTATCTCTGCAATGACTACAGCAAGGTTGGTTGCAGTCAGATGGCTACACCACTTCCGGTTCTGCTGCTTCAGCTGATGGAAGCATAACCGTGTGTGGTCACTGAATCTATTACTGACATTTCTCCAGAGGTACATCCAGACTCACTGGATACTCCTACATCACTTTGCCTTAATCTTCTGCTAGAAAGTAGATTACTTTTTATTGCATGTAAAGCTGTGCACAGAAAGGAGTCAGGTATTTTTTAAAAAACAGGCTGACAGAAACTTTACAATGGTTATGAACAAACATGACCACATTAACCCTCAGTGGGGATTACCTGAGATCTGATTTGGGCAGCTTTCTTTGGGTCTACCATGCGGACATGTTCAAAGTGTTTGAGAGTATGCTGTCTGTCTTTCTGCTCAGCACGCACGTACTTCTTCAGCATGTTGAATACGTGACGAGGCTACAGGGAAGAAATAAGGAAAAAAATCAGTTTAGAACAACATATGTTTTAGTTCCTTGCACTGGAGATGTATCCCAAACTAAAAGCACTTGGTCAGTTGGTGTCTGCAGCTACCTTCTGAAGGCAGGTCTGACTACTACAAGGAACTTCCATTCATTTAAGCCATTCAACAGGATGCACCATTAAATAGTAGCTTTAGGTAGTAGATAAGGTTCCTGGAGAGGGCGTTCATATTTCCTCCCTGACCATAAGGGGAAGTCTGCCTGCTGCATTTTCTTGTCTAACTGCTATACTATTGGCCTAACAAGACAGTAAGTGCCACGTTAGCATACTAGTTAATGGACACCCAACAACAATTTATTTTGGGCTTTGCTTCCACTCTCTCCATGAGTGTCTACTTTTCCTGTCCCACAACTCAGGAAGTCCCCATGATCCAAGCTCCCAGTTTGCAGCCTTCATCACCAGGTAAATCCCTCCCAAAAGATCACCCGAAACCTGGACTCGATTGGAAGCATTTCAAAGATTCCCCATATATGCTCTACTATGCTGAATAATAAACCAGTATCAACGTTTGTCAACTACAGTTAAACTTTAGTAACAAAAATGTACACATTCAGATTCCAATCAGAAAGTAACATACCCAATGGCTGCACAGAAGACCATGTGAGAGCACTGCTCTATCTAAGCCAAGGAATAATTATCAGACTTGACTGTAAAACTTAAAAAAAACAAAACAAAACAAAACAAAAAACAAGATGCTCCTGTCCTATCACTGCTATGCCACCAGGGAGAAAAGAAAGAGGAAAGGAACCACTGAGCTAAGGTACAGAAAGTACATATCCAGAATACACAACTGACTGAAAAGCCATAAGAAAAAAGTGCCATCTACTTGGTTCTTCTGAAGGTACTCAGCCTGGGTGTTAGATTTTGTAAAAATCTTAAGTCTATGTATATACTGCAGGTGATTTTAACCAGTAAAACCTATTAAATATATGCCTTAAGGCACATAAACAAACAAAAGAAAGGTCTGTAGCTGAAGGGAATGTGAAAATATACACAGATGACAGAGCAGTGAAGACTAAGAAATGTGTATTTCTATGTACTTTCCTGCATTGTACAATAAAACAGTGTCAAAACAGGGAAATGTACTCTAGCATTCAGCTAAGACATTCATTTTTAACTCAGTGTTTATGATGGATTCTGTAAATCCTTCCCCCACCAGCTTGTGCTGTTGCACTTGTGCATCCTTCCTGAAGCTGCCGAGCAGTGAAAAGCATGAAGCTGAGGCAGGTGAGAAAAAAGAGAAAGGTGACCTTACTGTGCAGTAGACTAAAGAATGAGCAGAAGTGGTGAACAGCTGGTCTGGGCACTGGCAAGGATACAGGGAAGAGGGTGGAGAAGTGACAAAGTAAGCATCAGAGGCTCTGTTCACAGCTTTCTGAAGCAGGAAGAACCGTGGGCGAAGTTGAAGTTTTTAAGAAGACTTAGATTCGGGGACAAATATAGAGCCTAAACTAATTTAACATTTACACAAGAGATGAGTACAAAGCCACAGATATCAAAAATTAAAGAATCTCTTCAGCTTAAGAGAAGCAACAGATTTAAAAATGTCTGAGGAAAGAAAACCAAAGGTTTTTTTAAGATTTATTGGACAAGAATAGAGAGATGTGAAGCCATTCCCTGTCAGAGGATTAAACCTAGTGGCTCCGTGACTGAAAATTCATTCATGACGAAAATAATCCCAAGCCCCTAAAGCCAGGCACTTTGGGATGAAGTTGTAGGAAACGGCAGACAAATGCTGGAAAGTAAGTAATCCTCACAACATCGTGGTGATGGCCAAACAAACTGAAATGTCAACTGTAAAGCTTTATAGGAACAAAGGCAAGAAGACCAGAAAGTTTAACCAACAACAAGAAAATTCTGAAGACAGAAAATGTCATTACCTTTCCTGACAATTCAGCTTTCCCTGCCCCCAAGACACCTAAAGATAGCAGGTTAGGGCAAACTAGAGAGAGGACACACAAGCTTCTATGGTGAATGCAGGCACCTCTGGAAACAACATGATTTGCTGAACATAACACCGAGATCTGAGATATAAAAGGACTCAGGCTCCCCTGAGCTGGAAGAGGAAATGGATTAGAAGTCTGAGCACGTAGACTTGTCATCACCAAAGATTTATTTATTTTGACCTTTAGGAAACATGCCCTGACTCAACCATTAAGGTAATACAGTGGGTCATTTCATACTGATCAGAAAAACTCAGAAGGTGGCAGTATCCCCTGAACATCTGACACACACTCAAACAGTTCTGCTTCCTTGCTGGAAGTCCCGGTCATACTGCATCCGGTCAGACCTCTAACCTTCCCCAGAACTTTGCAGTGCTACTACTGCATGGCTTCAGGGCCATGGCTGAAGGCAAAACTGACAGAGCTGGTGATGGGCAATGGCAGCTCTCCACTGGGCTTTGCATACCTGAGTGTGGCAGTTACCATAAATGAGGACGAAGTTGTACAGTTGCATGTGACTTAGTTAAAAAAAAAAAATAAAACCTGATCATTTTCTCCTCAATGCCTCCCTATTATATTTCATACACATTTTCTTTTAAATGTCATTACTGAGTGAACTGGTTCTGCTTAAAAATCCCACCCACACACAGGCACTTTTTGCAGATATACTTCCAGCAGGATTCGCTCCAAATCTAGTACAATTAACAGTGTATGAGCAGAGGGGCCACGACGAACACGAACGGTCAAGCACAGAGGTGAGGAAAGGCTCCACAGGCTGAGGAGATGCAGTCAGACCCTGTGTCTGAAGCTATTATATCCATGGTCATCTATTACTTCAACCCTAGGTAGGAATCTTCAGATTAAATTATAAATGAAAGTGGTGCTATTATCAGCTAAATTAAGTTCCTGAGGTCTCCGCTCTGACACAGTCTATGGCAGAAGAACAAACGGCTGACACATCCCAGGGCTAGCTTGGCACCTCTTGCTCTTCATAAATAAGGTACCAACCACGAAACTTCATTAAAAAATTTTGGGTTTAGCACTCAAAATTCTGCTACGCGTTTTGCCAGGGAAAAATCAGTATGTTCATGTCTGTAGTCACCTTAATAAAAAACATCTCACAGAATAACTAACTTGTATCAGCCACCAGGGTCTACCTAAGCCTCAAGAAGTAATTCCACTATTTTCAGTTGTCTATACTTGTTTTATTGGCTTGGGTTTTTTCAGTCTTCAGAAAGCGACCAGGATAATCCCAACATGATTTCTGTTATCCTCATATTTTTAGTTACCCTGTGCTGCTGGCAAATGTCATTTATCCAGTGACAAGAATGGCTAGTGACCTCCTAAGCAACGTGATCCAGCACCAGATTCAGAATGTGCATTATTTCATGGGCAATGCTGTTTAGATAGGAATAATATCAGCTACTGAGTACTCCAAAACGCTGGACTGGCTGGCAATAAGTTTAAACCCACAGTCCTATGGCACACACTCAGTATTCAGGCAAAGTGAGAAGCCACAAACACATCTAATAAGGTGCGCAGCAGGCAGCGCAGGCTGAAGCAGTGTGAACGCTACCATTACATGCTGCTGCTGATTATACACACACTTTCACTCTGTTTACTCCCACAAAACTCATTCCAAAGCTTCCCCTTCTCATTAGATTGAAACACTGTTTTTTTATCTAAAATTAAGCACAGATAGATCATAGCCCTTTTATAAGCTATCGTGACAGGCCCACAGATGCACTCATGTCCATGGATATTTTAGTTGTTTGTTTAAAATCCTATTTATGCTGGAGAATGTAGACAAAGTGTTATTTTATATAGTTTTCCTGAGTAGGCTGAAACTTGCACGTATTCAAGACATTTGGTACAAAGTACCACAGACTAGGTATGCTGTCTACATAGACTACCTAGGCTGACAATGCACCATTAAAAAGCTAATTTTCTACTTAAAAACTATAGAGAATATGCCTTTTCTCTTATTTAGAAGACAATTCTTTCTGTGAAAATATATATATGCACCAGGACAGAGTTAAGGACCTGTACTTGTACTGCAGCCCCCTGGTCTGAAAGCTTAACAAGGTCATCTTGACAGCTGGTTAACAGGTTTCCAGCTGTACAGGGCACAAGCCCAAACAAAACAGAAAACACTGATTGCTCCTTGGCTACCTGGTGGTAAGTTCCAGCCCCACTGACTCTGAAACCCAGTGCCTTTATTTCAGGTGGCATCCACATCAAAATAAGGACAATTCCATAAAGGAATAATATATGATCTAAAAAGCCCAAACTACAGTTTCTACCAAGTAATATATACATACATAAATACAAATATGAATATATATGCATGCAGATGCCCCCCCATGAACTCTACCTCAATCCTATTCTACTATTTCAGATTTTAAGGGAGTGATGAAACAGTGCAATTTCACTGAGCTTGGAAAACGGAAACATCAAATGTAGTTTGGATTGCTAAAAATATAACTTACATTCTCCTCATGGAAATCCAAAATATGTACTACAGAGAAACAACACAAAAATCACATCAAAGCACTTTTGTGTATTTAAAAGACAACTTCCTGACTCTGTGCCACGGAACCTCCATGGGAAATTCTGAGATGGCTTGTCATTTTGATCAAAATTCTCTCTAAATCAGAGAGGGAAGTTTCATAATGCTTTATTGTGCTATTTAATCTTGCCTTTAGAGAAAAATCAACTTTGAACTGCTAGTACACTATCTTCTTGCCATTCAGCAATCCTCACAAGATCCTTCATCAAACATTTTGACAGTTCAATAAACAAAACAGAAAATCACAACCATCTTTGCTCTTAAGCTCTCTCCTGACATAATGAAGTATCCTACTTTGCATCACTTGGAGGGCTGTTTCATCATCCTTCTGCAGGATTTGTGAATGGCTACAATTTCTGACAACCAAATTACTTCCACATTATTTGCTTAAGTATTTTTATGTACATATCTATCGATAGGTACGTACAGAGGGTATGTGCTTGTGCCTACATTTATGTACACACAAAGTCTTAACTTCTAACTTTCCAACTAGCTGACTGCTGTAGTAGCTCTTGTACAGGGAAAAAACTCTCATGCTCCATAGCTGGACTGCACCTGGACACACCTTCTCCTTCCCCAGGATGACTACAGCGATTCTGACACATTTGACAGAGCTTGTGGTACTGCACTTACCCTGGGTGGGACAGTCTGCAGAGCTGTGATATAATTCTCCAGAGCAATGCGGCGACGGTCATTCAGCATGGCTTCCACTCGTGCCATATGAGTCTCCACCAGCTGTTGTCTTTCATTTGCTGCTTCTTGTTCCAGTGATTCCACTTTCTCCTGGAAATGCTGAAAAAAACATCCATCACAACAGGAACAGTGAAGACATCCACGGAGACCAGCAGATGTGAACACCTTCACCTGCAAATCACCAAAATCTTTCCCCATGTCAGTTGACCTTGGCTCCCATGAACTCTTCACTGAAGGCACCTTTTACTGGTTTCAGTGGGAACTGCTGATGCCCTGTATTCCTGAACACCTGGCCATATTTTATTAATCTAATCAAATATTCCCAACATGTTCAGTACAACCAACAGTAAATCCTTCATTTGCCCCCTCAGACAGTGGTTCAGCACTAGAGAATCATGCCTAGAGGAAGGTGGAGTTTGCCAAGCATAGGCCCCTTGCCATCACAAGTCATCAACATTACTTTACATGCAAATCTACATGTGGGGATGGGGGGGTGGGAATTTCAACCTGAATAGAGTCACTATAATTTCTTAAAAACTGGCCACTGAAAAATTGAGCCTAAACTTATTCCAATAAGAAAAATTGAGCCTAAACTTATTCCAATAAAGGAAAAGATTGACTGGGTAAAATGCACAGAGAGCAAAGCTGTGGGATCTAATATGCAATGCAATCTGGTTCTGAATGTTACATTTTTATAGTTTTGCATTAATATCATTCTAGCAGTACTGAATAATACCTGACATATCCACAGTGGGATTCAAGGAGTGTCTAGTTTGTCAGAATTTTTGAATTATAGTGCAATTTTGGATAAAATAATTTTTGGTTGACGGTTTCTTTCAGATAAGACTGATGGAGATTTCTTCTTTAAATCGCATTTTCCATCTCTGCTTTGAGCTTAGGTCCTGCAGTTTATATTAGTTTATCACAGCCGAAATTCTGAAAGTGGCCCGTGGGTACTGAGTTTTCAGTTCTCACTGAAGGGAAATCAATTCATGTGAAATTCTACCCCTCCATGCAGTCACTAGCAATGTCCTGCACTGCTATTCCAGGGAGTGGTTACAAAGTACACAAACACCCAGCAGCCACTAACAGCTGGAAACAAAAGAAGCAACAGCAAGAGCAGAGAATAACATTAAATCTCCACAGAAGTAGGTTTTAAAATTATACCACACCCAGCACCCCCTGTATTTTAACTGTGGCCCCAGTGGGTAAGGTTGTGGTTGTGTTTTCCTTCACCTGGATAACAGCTTTCTTGTCGGCCTTTGGCAAGTTCTTTGCTTGGCGTTCTGCCTCTTCCCACTCTCTCATGACCTAACAAACAAAACAAGGAGCGTGACTTCTCTATTTTCTTTTTTTTGTCTCAGGTCTTAGCAAGAGCTGAGCACTGCAGCTCTGACAGTCATCTTTTTATATTCCACTCCTCCTTTTATCTCCGTTTGAAAAAGCAGTTGCAACATTTAGTAAAGGTAGGATCTTGTTATTAAATTAAACAAAGATGGTACTTCTGTGTCTGTACATCATGCCCATCTCTCGCAACTCCACTGTGAAGCAACACAGCCATTAACCAGCCCTCAAGCGAGGGAAGTGGAGGTCTCTACGGGTCAACACATCAACTCGTTTTCATCCCAAACAGAAAGGAAATGTCCTCCATCTACTGTATGTCCTTGGTCAAAATGAGTGAATTCCAACTTGTTCTAACTGGTACTTTTTTTGGTACCATAAAAATTTTTAGATTTATTCAGACTACATCACTGGCCTTTGAGTAGGACATATCAAGAATTACATGCAATTTGTGCTAATCTGTCCAGAAACAGGTGTCCAACACTTCGAGAACTGAATACATTTATATCTCAAGTACAATGGTGACAGAAAAATGATGTAGGAGAACTTTCAGTATCATTCCTTTCAGCAACGTGAGTCCTGTAACACAGGGTGGTATTTCAATAGGCAGGGAATGAGTCACTCTTATCCTGATGCCCATGACATCCAAAACCTTCTTGTGGTCTTAGGGACTTCACTCATTTCACATCTAGGCAGCAGTCTCCTCAGATAACATTTCTCTATTTTCTTTTTTTAAATTTAGAACCTACGTTAAAAGTAGGTTTTAAATTTATACCACACCCAGCACCCCCTGTATTTTAACTGTGGCCCCAGTGGGTAAGGTTGTGGTTGTGTTTTCCTTCACCTGGATAACAGCTTTCTTGTCGGCCTTTGGCACAGGAAATTTTACTGCTTCTCTGTCAAAGCAGGACTAGAGGACACGAACTGACACCACAGATCAGAGCATCATGATATGTTCTGGAAAAAACATTAATGTGCAGAGTACTGTTGTGTATTAAGTGCACATTAGGTATAATCTCCTAATTGTATGCTTAGGCCATATGATTGTGATGGCCGAGAAAACTTAATTCATGTATACAGGTAACATCTTTCTACCTGTCACTGGTGCCAGGATGTGAACATTACAGAAGACCCACAAATTACGGCATTAAATCAAGTCATAAACTATCATGATGTGCTCAAGCTTGAGCATTAGCCTAGGCGAGCAACTTCATGATTTTCTTCTCCCTCCCTTTTTTACACTGTGGCATAGAAGCGTATCTGCAAGAGAACAATTTATGACAGACATTTGGGTTACAGCGATCAGACCAGCAGAGATGCTTGCTTGCCTCAAGGTTTGCTTAGTCAGAAGATCAAAGTCATGCCAATAAGATGCCTACCTTTGTCAAGGACTTTTGTTCCACACTTAAATCTTTACCCTTTTTCTGGTAATAACATAATTAAACCTCTCCAAAGAGCCCTGACTGTACCTGGGGGTAAGCTCCTACTAAGCTACAGTCAGTTTTAAGGAAGGAAAGAGCCCTCCCACACACAATAATAGAGATAGTGGGATCTAGACAAAGCAGGGACCAGTATTATCTAACATCTTTGTTGGGGACACGGACAGTGGGATTGAGTGCACCCTCAGCAAGTTTGAGGATGACACCAAGCTGAGTGACATGGTTGATACTCTATAGAGGTAACCTATGCTATCCGGACTGACCTTGACAGGCTTGAGAGGTGGGCACGTGCAAACCTTGTGAAGTTCAGTAAGCTCCTGCACCTGGGTCGGGTGCAATCCCCAACATCAGTACAGGTTGGCTGGAGAATAGATCAAGAGCAGCCCTGCGGACAAGGACTTGGGGTACTAACAGATGAAAAGCTGGACACGAGCTGGCAACGTGCACACGCAGCACAGAAGGCCAACCATATCCTGGGCTG